ATATATATATATAATCAACACCTCAACCCGCCAGGATTCGAACCCACGGCCCACGAGCCCATTACTGTGACCGGGGAACGCTAACCGCTGGACCACCAGGATACTAGTGGTCCAGCGGTTAGCGTTCCCCGGTCATACTCGTGGGCCGTGGGTTTGAATCCTGGCGGGTTGAGGTGTTGATTGTATGTAGAAATCCGCGTGTTTATTGGGCTAATGAAATATATATATATATATATATATATATATATATATATATATATATATATATATATATATATATATATATATATATATATATATATATATGTGTGTGTGTATTTTTTCGTAATTATTTTTGTGTATGTGTATAGGTTTATGATCTAATTTATATTCCTTTTGATCTACGTGAAATATGTTTGCTCCTACCTGTTGGAATATTACATCTGTGTACGGCTTTCGTACTCGTCCTGTATGGCGTCAAAGGAAACCTCATTATAGTGTAAGATTACATCTGGTGGTGGAGGGCAAGGAGGTCGCGACGCATTACCACGAGTCTGCCACAACTAGAAGGAATTTATGCTTATTCAATATTTCTCTCCATACCTGTTTGTAGGAGACATACTGATACATGTCTGAGGTTTATTACATAATGATAACTGAGTGTAATTGAAAGTCTTAAGAGATTTTGCTAGATTAAAGACTGACTGATATATGCGTCGTTTTGTCTGTTCTTTCTTTCTTTCTTTCTTTCTTTCTTTCTTTCTTTCTTTCTTTCTTTCTCAACATACACCTTATATACATTAAAATAAAGAACTGTCTGTAGCCTTACCATTATCTTCCTCTTTTAACATACTGTTTTATATGCACACAATACCTCCTAAGCCTAACAAACTAATGATACATGAAACTATTTAAATATCTATCCCCATCTTATATAAAGTACTAATAAGAGATGTAAATAATCATTATATGACAATCTTATATAAATTTTGCATCATTGAACTATTTCAGTCGTATCACCTCACCTTACCTGGGAATTTGTTTCGGTGTGAGCGTTTCTACCAGAGCACAGGTAAAATAATAGTATAATAGCATCGATATTGAGCAGACATGGAGAGAAGAAAACCACACATAACGAGACATAAAGACTTAATATATATTTTTTCTGTCTGTAATCAAAATATATGTTATAGATAATGAATAAAAGATGTTTCGGATTATTATTTTTTTTAGATTATGGCTTCCCCTCTAATTAAATGCGAAATTGTGTTTAAATGTAACCCCCCCTTAAAAAAAAATCCGGGATTTTGTTTGGTTCACGACTCAAGACCACTAAAGTCTTCCAACACGTATTTGAGTCCCGTGTGAGTATTATAGTGACTTTTAAGAGTGAGTGAAGTCTGTTATTATTCTTCCATATAATGCTTGAGGCTGTTACAGAATGCTAATGTAGGAAAACTTCCCCACCCTACCCCCCCCCCTCCCTTCCTCCATAGCCATACCCCTAAAATTATTATGCATAGTAGACCAACGTAATTTTTCTCCTCCCACCACCCGCCCACCCGCCCACCTACCCTCGATATCTCATCATTGTTTAACTTGTGTAGGGTACAAATGAGGAGGATGAGGGAGGGAGGGATATATGAGGGAAGGAAGGAAGAATGAGTAAAGTAGCTATAAGGGGTGGTGGTGGGATTTGGAGTGAGGTATCAGGAGAAAGGTATAAGAAGGGAGGTTATGAGGGAGGGAAGTATTAAGAGGGAGGTATAAGGGAGGGAAGTATTCGGATGAAGGTATAAGGGGAGGTAGTATGAGGGAGGGAAGTATGAGGGAGGGAAGTATTAAGAGGGAGATCTAAGGAGTCGAAGTATGTGGGAAGGTAGGTATCAGGGGGAAGGTATACGGGAGGGGAGGTATAAGGAAGGGTGAGGCGTGAGTAAAGTAGGAATGAGTGAGGGAGGTATAAGGTAGGGTGTGAGGGAGAAATGATATGAAATATAAGCTAGGGGAGAGAGAGCAAACCAAGAAGGGAAAAGGAGTGAGAGAAATAACTGTTCCCAGAGATGCAGCTAGGGAGGGGGGAGGGTGGTGGAAGGGAGGGTGGAGGTAATGCGTGAGGCCAAGGATAAGTGTGATGGGCAGTACCGTACGTGGTGCTGGTGGGGATGGTGGTAGTAGTGGTGGTAGTAGTGATGGTAATGGTGGTGGTTGTGGTAATGGTAGTAGTGGTGACAATGATAGTGGTGGCGGTGGTAGAGGTTATTTTGGTGGTGTTTATGGTGGTGGTGGTGGTGGTAGTTCTGGCAATAAAATTAATGGTGGTTGAGATGGTGGTTGTTATGGTTGTTGTGTTGTTGGTAGTGCTGGCAGTAATGATGTTGTCAGTAGTGTTGTTGACAGTATTGAGCCTGTCACTAGTCACTGCGTAATAACAGTAATAGTAATAGTGGTTGTAGTAGTAGCCATAGTAGGAATGGTGTGGTTATCCTCGTAGTAGTGGTGGTTGTGCTAGTAATCATAGTGGTAGTGGTGTGGTATCTCCTCTGGTCAGGAGACGCATGACAGGCAACCAATATATATTTCAGACTTCCGTTGGGTCTCTGGACTATGTTTTGCTCGTGTATATTTAAGTGCGTTGGTGAAGTGTGCTGGGGCAGAGAGCAGCTGTAAACATCGCTGACTCTAAACCTACGTTGATGGTGGACAATAGTGATTATTATGAGGGAAAGCGTTAGAATTTTCTGAATATAGTTCTATTTATCTTTCTATTCATAATGACACACACACACACACACACACACACTTCATCCTTGACCATCGAAGGGACAAGACGTACCTGGCGCTCCCCTGGCAGCAGCCAGGTCAATTATTATGTTGGCCCATACCAACTCCCTCCCCTGAACCTCTCCTCCCCACCAGAATATCAGCAAGTTCTCGCCAGAAGTTACTATTTCATTTAGGAAAGGAATGGAACTAGTGTTGGACAGTGGTGAACAGTGCTCAAGTCAGTGAAAAACAACTCGACAGTAACAGCTGAGTCGTATCCAAACTAACCTTCACACAATGAGGTCCCAGGTACCCAGTCATAACTGCATGTGAGACTCAACAACACCAGCTATGTGTTAATCCGTCCACGATAGGGAGGCCCGGGACCACACCTCACTCACTTGAGTGAGTGAGGTCATGTGACACCAGACCACGTGGTGTCCCAATGATGCTACAGCACCACGTAGTGAATGAGTTGCTACAGCAGCATGTGAGGTTCTTCATAACACCATCTGTGAGGGAATTACTACACCACGTGAAGTCCCTCATAACAACATCTGGGAGGGAGTTACTACACCACGTGAGGTCCCTCATAACACCATCTGTGAGGGAATTACTACACCACATCAGGGCTCTCATAACACCATCTGTGAGGGATTTACTACACCACGTGAGGTCCCTCATTACACCGTCTGTGAGGGAATTACTACACCTCGTGAGGTCCCTCATAACACCATCTTTGAGAGAATTACCCCACCACATCAGGTCCCTCATAACACCATCTGTGAGGGAATTACTACACCACGTGATGCTCCTAATAACACCATCTGTGAGGGAATTTCTACACCACGTCAGGTCCTTCATAACACCATCTGTGAGGGAATTACTACACCACGTCAAGCCCCTCATAACACCATCTGTGAGGGAATTACTACACCACGCGATGCTCCTCATAACACCATCTGTGAGGGAATTACTACACCACGTCAAGCCCCTCATAACACCATCTGTGAGGGAATTACTACACCACGTGATGCTCCTCATAACACCATCTGTGAGGCAATTACTACACCACGTGATGCTCCTCATAACACCATCTGTGAGGGAATTACTACACCACGTCAGGTCCCTCATTACACCATCTGTGAGGGAATTACTACACCACGTCAGGTCCCTCATAACACCATCTGTGAGGAGTTACTACACCACGTCAGGTCCCTCATAACACCATCTGTGAGGAGTTACTACATTACGTGTCTACTGTTCAACACCTCAGCGCACATGATCTATGTGACCTCCATTGTAAACATTAATCTGTATGTTCACTGTATGTTCCTTTACCTTTCTTTAATGAGGGCTTTTGTTAAACCACCAACGTCAATGTATGTAATAAGTCATTTATGTCCAATGTATATTTTCAGCCTTCGGGCTGCAGAACTTTTTCAATAAACCGTTAATTATTATTATTATTATTATTATTATTACTTTCTAATCTGTGTAAAACTGTTTGTATTGAACTATCAGGAACGGTTTAAGTATCAAGAATTAAGCAACTTAAACAAAGTATGTGTAGTGGCCCACTTGTTTGTTTGTGCGAGGGATCATAACTACATGACTGACTGACATAAGCCAAGTCAGTTTATTATTAAGAAAGATTAAAGTCAGCGACTGGCTATAAACTGACGGTGTTAATAACATCCCTTCCTGAGGCCATTCCTGCACCTGTTAAGTCAAGTATTATTACAAGTTCATAGACGATCTTGTAGGTTGTTTTCTGCCATTACTGTGTAATGTTAATATTTATGTTTCATTCAATATATATATATATATATATATATATATATATATATATATATATATATATATATATATATATATATATATATATATATATATATATATAGTAAGATGCCCGGTGTGACACACACCACTTTGAAGAAGTACTCGTGCAAGTAATTGTGTTACAGAATAGTGACGCACTGCGTACATTGCCTTACACACGTCCACTATCGTACCTAAACAAGATCTTGCCCGAAATACTCATCCAGTAGACAGTGGCGTCCTGAGCTAGTTAGATTCTATTACCCTTGTAAGTGGCACAGCAATACCTCCTGACTAGACCTCTGTTTAGACCTATTTATACCTGTTTTCACCTATTCACATCTGTGTGCACTTGTTTATCCCTGTTTTTAACTGTCTTCACTATGACTTAACTAACCTACATAATCCTCACCTCTAACCTACATAATCCTCACCTCGTTAAGGGCGTGGATGTCCTCGATGGTTATGACGCGATCCTTATTGTGGTCGAAGACATCAGTAAAGTAGTAAGTGAACTTCTCCACCTGGAAGTCGGACAGGTATATCTTCCCTTCTGGGGGCTGTAAGTCGTCGTCGTCCTCGAAGGGTCGTCGCACCCACGTCGCTGGAGGAGAGAGAGAGAGAAGCTAGAGTGAGAGGAGTGACATGTCGTGTTTGGGAAGAGGAATGATTGTTGATTGATATAACAAAGGTGCTTAAATTATCTAACCAGGAACGAACTCGTAGCAATGGTTTTAAATTAGACACATTTAGATTTAGGCGCGAGATAGGTAAACACTGATTTGGAAATAGAGTAGTGGATGAGTGGAACAAGTTACCAAACATCATCGTTAACTCAAACACTCTGGGCAGCTTCAAATATAGGTTGGACAGGTATATGAGCGATAGGGGTTGGATGTAAACGGGACTGCCCAGTATGGGCCAATGGCCCGCTGCAGTTTTCTTCATTCTTATGTTCTTATAGAAGTAAATACTCAGAGGAAGAAGAAGAGATAAATAGATAAATAGATAGATAGATCAGTGATATTGTGCTAGGAATTGAAAATAAGGAGAAATATGATGAAAATGGAAGGAATGAAAAAAGGCAACAAATTGGAACAAAAAGGACAAATAAAAGTTACAGGTGTATCGCATGAGAGGAAGTAGAGGAACAGGAACAAATGAAGACAATGCAATAATAGAAAGAACATAAACAATCACGAAAAAATGTGAAGGAAAAAAAGGTAAAGTTCAAAACATAATAATAATTGTGGTTTCTATCAATACAGAAGCCTCACGTCACAACGCTCCTGCACTTGTGTTTTACCCACACAAAAACTACATCCCACGAGTAGGAAGGAAAGTGGCTGAAACTTTTCCTCATAATAATAATAAATTTTTAAGGGAGATGCTTTATGGAAGTTAACCTAGAAATTTCACTTCAAACAACTTCATTTCCTGAAGAAACAAAAATAGCTGTAATCATCAAGGTAAAACACACACAAACCCTCATCTTATCTCTTATACCGACCTGTGTATTTTATATAATCACAAGGGCTATTCGACGAGATACTCTCTCTCTCTCTCTCTCTCTCTCTCTCTCTCTCTCTCTCTCTCTCTCTCTCTCTCTCTCTCTCTCTCTCTCTCTCTCTTACCGTGAGGATGAAATCAACGAGGAGGGGTTCGAACAAGGACCTGATTCAGAAAATACGGCAAAAAAAAATAATCTAAATAAATCGAAACACGAGACGAAATTTATCAAAGATCAAAGCAAGGTATCTATTCCGAGTCACAGGTGGGATATTTAGACGTTGAGGAAATTACAAGACCAATCAAATTCGGACACCAAAAGGAGACAATTCGAATATCTAGGTAGAAATTCGAACATTAAGAAAGTTTTGAACACCAAACAAATCTTGAACCCCGAGAGAGGGGGATATTCGAATAAACTTATTGTTTACATTACTGCATTCACTATTGTTCATTTCATAAACACGATAATGCTTGAAATCCTGGACAGTTCCGGCCTGAGAGATATTAACTAACACAGAGGTTATTTTGGAAACAAGGAAATAATTCCTATCCCGGAGCGGTACCGGTCTGAGGTATGTTAACTAACACTGCTATTATAACGTCAGCATGGGGTTGCTTCCTATCCTGGATGACCTCGGGCTGAAGAGTGAGATGGAGGAGTGATAAATACAGTAATAATGTTTTTATTTTGTGCACACGTAAATGCTTCTTGTCGTGGAGCAACTCTGGCTCTTGTGTTAACGAGAAGCGAGACTGGGAGGCTTCACTGGCGTTTCCCGCAAATGGATTTTCTTATGTTGTTGGTCTTCGAAAAGTTTGTCTCTTTTTACATCTCTTGGGTGACGAGATTCTTATCTTTGAAAGGCTTTATCTGGTTTGTGGAGGAAAGATGAGACAGGAGGAGAGGATGAGATAACTAGACCGAGAGAAAGAGAGAGACAAGGACAAAGGCATATATTGACAAACAGAAAGACAGAGATAGACGGAGAGTAGGAGACAGAAATTGAAGGGATGAAACTTTACAACTACTGATCACACTGACTTTGTTTCAGCAGAACCCTAAAAAAATCACTTCTCACACGGATATTAATTTCAGAGGCAGCTGGGAAAGTCATATTGTTTTCTTGAACCATTATGAAATATACTCGTATCTTGTCGACTTTTAACAACCATAACTTTTTCTGCTTTTTTTTATTGTTTTGGTAATTTTTTTTCTTTACCTTGTCGCCCTTTCTATGCACGAAGTACTTAACTCAGTGGCCATTCAGATGGTGTTCAAGTATCAGAGACGAAAAGTATAGACCTGCTGCCTCACATCGGCTCACGTGAAAGTCCACTCTCTCCCTCATTTGTGTATATTTTGTAAACAACACGAGTTTTCCGACAAGGCTGAGGGTATGTGGTCCTCCAGCTGACAGTATAACCTAGATAAACCTGTTGCCGATAAGACATGTATGTGAGGAGGAAAATAATGGAATTTTCTCTATAGCAATGAATTATTTTACGAGTTATTTATTAGTTTTGGTGGTTGGAAAAACATAGCAGTTGCTTCAAGTATATAAGGGATTCATTCGTCCTAACTTGGAGTACTGCTCTCATATGTGGGGTGGCTCTTCTTCTGTCCATCTGTTAGATAGGGTGGAATCAAAGGCATTTCGTCTTATTAACTCTTCTCCTTTAGTTGATAATTAATCTTTTCTCCCTTTCTCTTCTCCGCAATGTTGCTTCACTCTCTCTCTTTTAGAGGTACTTTAATGGGCAATGTTCGGTGGATTTGGCATCCTTTGTACCGCCGACAAGGCCGTGGGCTCGTAACACTCGTCTTGCTCGCGTTGCCCACCGTTTCTCTGTGGATGTCGGTCACACAAGAATAACTCGTTAAAGTACATCCTTCTTTCCTCACACAGCCAAACTGTAGAATGCTTTGCCTTCTTCTGTGTTTCCATACTCATACAATCTGTCTCACTTCAAAAAGCTGGTTTTCCTGCATCTTCGTGGTGTAAATTAATATATTATTTTTATTTTTATTTTCTGTTTACTCTTATTTTTTCGCCCCCTAGGCCCCGTTGTGGGTCGATGACCTGTGCCCGGGTGGGTTATTCCCCGTAAAAAAAAAAGAAGATAAATATCTTTGATATATTCATTAAATAGATAATTTAATATGAATACTGCATATATAATTTATTTATTGGTTCTTAAATATTTTATAATTTATATTTTTCATTTATAGTTTTTTATATTGAAAATTTGATTTATTCTTTCACTGCATCCAGGAAAATCTTTAACGAATCTCTCCCTCTCTCTCTCTCTTCATTCGCTTTCACTGTCACTTGTTATCACCGAGACGCTCCCCCTTTTACAAGCTTAACTCAACCAGAAAGTGGCTTTACTGGTGAGGGTCTTCATCCAAGTGTGAGTGCTGAGATAAAATTGAAATCCCTTCCTGAAACACCAACCCCCTGTACCCTCAGTACGCATACTCTTGGCTCACTCTACCATAAAGCACGTGTTAGGGGAAACTATACCTTTAATGAACGGTAACCTAGTCGTGCAAAGTTGTGCCGTGGGAATAAATTGTGATTGTGTACTTTGTTGCAGGAGTTGTGGAGTTTCATCTGTGTTCACTTAATACCAGAATAAGGCGTTGGAATTTAATATTGAGAGAGGAACTTAATACTGAAATATAATACTAGAATTTTATACTGAAATTTAACACTATTGCTTAGAAATGTTCTGAAACCTGAATCATGTATGTATGTATGTATGTATGTATGTATGTATGTATGTATGTATGTATGTATGTATGTATGTATGTATGTATGTATGTATGTATGTATGTATGTATGTATGTATGTATGTATGTATGTATGTATGTATGTATGTATGTATGTATGTATGTATGTATGTATGTATGTATGTATGTGTGTGTGTATGTATGTATGTATGTATGTATGTATGTATGTATGTGTGTGTGTGTGTGTGTGTGTGTGTGTGTGTGTGTGTGTGTGTGTGACCTAAATCTTCCTACTGTTCCAGCACTTTATAATCATCTCGCAGTATTGGCTGAGCACACGACACAACACAACACAACGTTTCACTTCAACAAAATAACCATACTGTATGCTCGAACCTGTTGAGCAGACGACACGGCAAAGTCCCTCCCTCCCCCTTCTCTCAGTTATTTTCGCTTTTCTTCTCATTTTCTCTCCCTCTCTTCTTTCATCTTTTGGTTCCTCTTTTGATGTCTCCTTACCTCTATTAATCTCTTTATTTCCTCTTGGTTTCTCTTACTCTTCATTTATATTGTTCCTCCATTCCTCCTCCATTCCTCCAACTATTCTCTCACTCCTCCATCCTCCTCCATTCCTCCAGCCATTCTCTCACTCCTCCACTCATTAGATGCATCTTAATTCTCCCCATCAGAGGCCAACATACATTTGCTCTTAACCCATCCACAATTTTTAGCAGCACTTCCCTCGCCCCTTCCATCCACCTTTCCTCCCTCGCCCCTTCCATCCACACCCCCTTGCCCCTTTCATCCACCCTCCCTCCTCATCCAACCTACCTCACACCTCCCATCCAATTCTCTCATTCTCCCATCTATCCCTCCTCACCACCCCCATCCACACTCCCACACACCTCCCATCCACCCTCCCTCTCACCCAACCCATCCCCACCATCAGTCACCTCCCATCCACACCGCCTCACACCTCCCATCCACACCGCCTCACACCTCCCATCCACACCGCCTCACACCTCCCATCCACACCGCCTCACCCCTCCCATCCACCCTCCCTCACCCCTCCCATCCACTCTCCCTCACCCTACGTCAACACCCCGGTCCACTAACTCACATTAAATACCTCTACTACATCGTTTAGGGTTCCACCAGTCACTGTCTCTTGGTGTTTGGTTAGCGGAAGTACCGGAGTGATATAATTATTTTTGATAGTAAGTGATATGGGAGGTAGTAGGAGTAGTAGTAGTAGAAGTAGTATTTATTTTTGTAATAGTAACAGTAGTAATAGTAGTAGAGGTAGTATGATAAAAGAGTCACCCATAAGAACATAAAACCCAAATATTATACAAGTA